ATGCCTGGCCCACCTTTAAGGGAGGAGGTGGAGGGAAGAGATGGGAAGCAGAGAAGGGAGGGGAGAAAGAGAGGGGGAACATACCGAGAAAGAGAAACAAACAAAAGTGGGGTTAGTAGTGGTTACGGATTAGTGTGCGAAGCCTGCCTGGAAGATCGCTGGTGAAAATCCCCCGAGAGCATGGAGGTTCAGGCTGCCCCACAGAAAGCACAAGCCCACCCCGAGAGGAGGGCTGGGCAGGAATGGCTGCAAGCCCAGATGGCTGCGTGCTTCTGGGCACCTCCTGCCCGGCGGTGGTGTTTCACCCACATGGCACAGGTTGCAGAGGCTCTGTCTGAGCTTTGGTTTTCCCATTCAGACCCTCCTGGCCCTGGGAAACCAGGACAGAAAGGCAGTCTGTCTCTGCTCCACTGCAGAAGGTTCATGGGCCAGGCTGGATGTATACAGCCATCTTTCCTGCAGAGGCCAGGAAGGAGGGCAGGATTTGACCCGGAGTAGCGAGGTAGTGATCACCCCCCATAACCCCTTCACCGGCCAACATCTGCAGGGTGCAGCACAGACCTTGGGAAAGAGCAGCAGGAGGCAAGGCAGACCAGGGGACAGTTAGCAAGCGCACTTCTGCCTCCTGCCCCAGGCACTGCAGGCAGGATGCCCTTTGGTGGTCTGAGGGAGCCCAGGCATGGGGTTCAGCATCACAGACCCCAGGAGGCACGGCTCGTTGTCCCAGAGCATCCCTGATAGAGGTAAGTGGTCTAGTAGGTGATGGATTAGAGGTTTTTGGGGAATGAGGGCTGGGTGAAATGGAGGAGATAAAGTGGTGAGGGCAGAGGGTGTCTCCTGGCTGAAGTATTAGGTCTGAGCAGTCACCAGAAGAAAGGCACAACGGTGTTACGCAGCATTAGTTAGGGTATGGGTGAGGGAGAGAAGGGGGCAGAGGAGGAGGAGGAGAAACTGCCAGTTCCAACTCCCCAGAGGGAGATTGCCTGTTCAGTGGACAGCCTGCCCTCCTCTGGTTCAATGGCCATCTCTTCCCACCCCCTGCCCTGCACAGGTGACCACACACAGACACCTGTGGTCAGGGCATTGGAACCGTCTGTGCTCAGTGACCTCCTCCAGCTCCTTCCACCACTTCCCCCAAATTCCCCCATCAGTGAGGGGCACTAAGGCAGCAAGGACGGGGAGTTAGGGAACAGGGTGTTGTATTCTTCCTGAAAAGTAATGTCTCTGAGTCTCTGGAAAGCCAGAAACGTGAGGAAGCCCTGTGAGGAGAGAGAGGGGGGTGGGGGGGGGAGAATCAGTGAGGAAGAGCAAACCAGAGCATTTGATTGAAACAAAAACCCCAAGGAACCAGAGGAAGAAGATGCCTTTTTAGCAGCTCACAAGCCCATGCATCACAGAGGACAACTGCAGGTGGTAGCACCTCAAAAAAAGGTCCTGGGAGGCCCATTGAAAAAGCCTCACTCCTCACACTTTCTGATGGATCTTGCAAGGGGCCTTCAGCAGCACTCAAGTGCAGGACACTGCTCATGGGGACACACACACTGCTGTCCCTTGTCCCCCCTTGGTGTCACCTTGGCAAGGGTGCTCACCACATATCCCTTTGCAGCCCCCCTCCCTCTCTGACAGCTTTGTGGTCTTACTGCACCCTTCCTACCTGGCCCCCCACCCGACGTTAACACCCATAGGAAGAGGAGGAGATAAAGCCACAAGGACTTATGCATGGAGACTGGCCTAAAATGCCTTCCTGCTCAGCACTATCCTGTCACTTCAGACAAAAATCGCTCAGGCTTGGTGTTTTCAGAGATGGGAGGAAATTGTGGGGGATATTTGTATTGCACACCACAGTTTTTCCAGGAAAGTAGAAATAAGGAACTGCTGGGGAAAGGGCAGTCTTAAGAGACTGCATCATCACCTTTCCAAGGGGTGACCCAGTGAGGTGGAGCTGCAGTGATGGTGCAGAGGGAGAGCCTAGAGGGATGCGGATTGCAGCCTCTTGTGGCCACTGGTGACATTTCATGTGATGGGAGCAAAGGAGGGAGGGAGATGGGTGCAACCCCCAGCCTGGAGCTCCCTTCCCTGCTCAGCATCTATGAGGTGAAAATGCTGCTCAACTCCTCTGATGCAGAGGGAAAGGATGCTTGGGGTACTGGCTTGTCCAAGGTCATATTAGAGGTTTGTCAAGGGCACTCCTGACTGGGATACAGGACCTTCTTTCCCATCAGGCTTATTAATGTTCTAGCACCTTCTTCCACAAAATTTTGGAGTCCTTGTTTCCCAATTTCACCTCCTAACCACCTCCCCTCCTGCTTTTCCTTCTCAGAAGCCGCATGAGCTGGGATCTCAGAGGGAATCACTCTTAGCCAGTCACCTTCCATTCCCCACAAGCTAACACCGCAGAGGACAGTTGATCCAACATCATGGCTGCTTTACTCACCCAGGTAAAGATGGAGAAGAACGAGAACGTGATGGCTGCTCGGGCTGCATCCGCTCCCTCATTCATTGGGTTGTCCTCTTCTTTTGAAGCTTGCCACTGGTTGGTCAGAAAGCAGAAGCCAACGAACCAGAGGAACGCCCAAAAGGCTGGGATGGATCACCACCAGCATGCCGAAGGGGAGAGAGATGGAAAAGGTATGTGTGAGCAGAACATAAACACATCGTGTTTCTCTGGAAACTTCAACCCTATGAGACCCACCAGCGTTTTGCAGACTGGGCCAAACTCTGACTGCGCAGCCTGTCTATGCCCATGTGAGCTGTCAGGCTCGCTGACAGCAAAATTGTCAAGGTGACAATAGGTGTCTGCAGAAAGAACCTCAGGAGAGTTCATTTGCTTGTGTTTGGATTGATCACAGGACTTGCATTTGGCCTTGGGAGAGAGTCTGAAGGGCTTCCAGTACAGGAGCAATCATCTGGGCTCTCTGAAACAGCCACTGCTTTGCAACCCTGTCCTGAAAGGACAAGTGAAGAGCAATTCCTTCCAAGGGAGGTGCAGAAGAGTGGGAAGCAACCGGCCTGCAGCTGCGCAGAGACCAGCCTTTGCTCAAGACAGCACAGGCTAAGGGACTCACACCAGGGAAAGGTGCTGAAGGATCATTAATACGCTGCACCCCTGGGAAAGGGGTGAAGGTAGAGGGGAGCCCCGAGTCCCCTCACCCTCTCTGCCAGGCACAGCCAGATACCTGTCAGTGAAACTGTGTGGCAGCAAAACAGTCCTTCTCTTGTTAGCTGTACACAGAAATGCTGGGTTAGGGGCTAACCATAAAGAAACTTGCAAGCCAGAAGTCCTAAACAAGTTCAGATGCTGCACCTGATCCTGCTCTCACTCCACTTGTCCCTGCTTTGTGGGGGGACCCTGACATGGAGAAGTTTGCCTGTATGGCTGGAGTAATCCAAGAGAGCGATTCAGGATTACAGCACGAGAGCAAAGCACCTCTTCATGCTGCTGCTGACTGGCTCTACACGTGTGCACACACACGCACCATCGCTCTGTCTGTCACTTCAACACACTACTGGGTTGGAGAGATCTGACTATAAGTTAGATTAAGCCCCAGGGCTGGATGAGGTCCTGCTCAGTTATTCATGTGGGGAATGCCAGGTAACCTAGGAGGACTGGTTTAGTCAGCCTGCAGGAAATCCTCAACATTTTTTTTGTGCTAAAATATATGGGGTTCAATCACCTGAAGCTGGAAAAGAAGGAAGGACCTTCTTCAGAGGCATCAACACTTGGCTTTAGCAAGCACAAGCATGCAGGGAGGCAAGACCTGCTGAGCCTAAAGGGCTCCCTGAGCTACGCCTATGGAGAACAGCAGAAAGGTGTCGGGCAGATTGGCTGAGGAGAAAGGGAAATAAAAGGAAAGAGAAAGAAGGCCTGAGAGAGTAAGGAACCCAAAGACCTCCCTGCTAGCAGGAAGCTGGCCTGTGAGGTTGCAGAAGTTCCCTCCCTCTCCCTTCCCAGCAAAGGAGAGGGGCACTATGGCCAACCAGCCAGGAAGCTCACCTGAAACTCCGATGTCTGAGAGCACTGCCTTCTTGCGGTCCTTGACGCTGCTGATCTGCGGGAAGTAGGCATCTAGAGCCAGGTAAAGAAGGCAGCTGAGGAAGGCGAGGACACCCACGGTAATGCCATAGTTGCAGGCATTGCGATTGCGGTTGAAAATGCAGTGCTCTTCTGTCTCTTCAGGGCGGTTCACATACCCTTCATTGACAATGGAGCCGAACACCACAATGGAGAACAGCTGGTGGGGAGGAAGGTAGGAGACACGTCAGGGCAAGGCCGATCTCTATGGACCAGCACAAAGGAGCTGAGCTTTGCGCAGGACAGCCACCCTTTGCAGGCACCTCTCTGCCCGGCTGAGCTCCCGTCCTGCTGCCTTGACTGGGCTATAGCCACAGGGAATTTACTGGGGAGACAGTCTCATTTTATTTCGGAGGATTAACTTAAAATAGGACACTTTTACAATGAACCTTTTTATCCATCTGATCTAAAGCGATGTAAAGCAGTCGCAGTTTGGAGTAAGGGTAGTTTCCCGCAGACGCACAGGAAAGAGACGTGGAGTGTAAATTGGGATACAGTTTTGGTGCGGGTGCCTGCACTCAAGGGCTCCAAGTATCAGAAATCCTCTTAGTCTGCACTTATTCTCCCACCCACTCCTTTCCCTTCTAGGAATTCATTGTTTCTGCCACACATTTATTCACTAATTTTATCTATCCAGCTACTACGCTCTCTTCCCCCTCCACCCTCCCTCAATACACAGCTCTGCAATTTGGTTCTGCTGTTCTCCTGCTCTCCCCATCTCCCCGCACATCACACACCTCTCTCCACCAGTTTTCCATCAGCCCAGCCCATGACACCACCTATCCTTCTGCCCACTCACCCATACACCAACACCCTCCAACCTTCCCCAAGGATTTCACAGGCCAAACACCCCCCCTCCAGGTCCACCTGGCAGGGCCACCACGAGTCTTCCCTATCCATCACTGCCACTGCCACTGCCACTACATGTTATTTTAAATAAGGTAGAATTAAGGGTGAGTCCAGGTAGAAATGCCATAATCTGCAGCTGCCAGTCTAATCTTCACACACGGGCTTAGCCTTTGTCACCTGCCATGAAGCTACCCTTGTTTGACACAGCAGGTTCACCAAAGCAGAGAGCTATTTACAGCAGCCCCAGTCCTGCATCTCAAATAAACAGCTTCTCCTCGCAGCCACAGGAGAAAGAGGGGAAGATTAAGGCAGCACATGCAGATTTTTCTTTGCAGGATATCTTGAGACCCTCGGTAGGAACAGCTTGCTTGCAAGCTGTCCAGGCAGAGGGGAAACAGGGCCTCAGGCATGGGGTGAACATAGATGGGATGAGCATCCAGGATGTCACCAGAGCACTCTGCTAGCCTGGGAGTTGTCTGCACAGCAGGAGCCTGGCTCCCTTGGAAGCACTGCCCAATCCCCAAGGAGAAGCAGCACACAAGGAGATGAGGTGGCCAAGTCTCCTACAGGGAGTGGAGGTAGGCCTGAGAGTTTGCTAGGTCAGAAGGGCCCCAGTTCCACTTAACCCAACCAAGCACCAGAAAAGGACATGGCAGACAACCCAGAAAGTGGAGAAGCAGCTTCATGAATGCAGGGAAAAGTAGCTGTTGATTAATGCCAACCCAATACACCATCTATCTTTGGTGGGGCTGGAGATCCACAGCACAGACCTCTGCTGTTTGACCAGTGGCATCAAGAACTAGAGGAAAAATCTTATTCATGGTCAGCGACAACCCTTGGGCAGATACTCAACGCTGACCATGTTTCAGCTGCCAAACTCTAACAAGTATCTATTAACACCGATATTATTTTTTCACCCTAAGGCTCATAATTGGGTCACACATGGGTTGCTGAGATCCAGTGTATTTTTGACACACTAGAGCAAACTAAAAAAGCTGGAAGCTGGTGCTCCTAAGCGGGGGGACCGTATGGGTTCTCTGAAAGTTCACAAGAGCTTTTTAAGCTTCGAAGTAAAAGAACTGATTTGTCCTTCTCCTCCTTCTTGAAAATCAAGTGATCATACTTTGCAGAAATTGCCTGTGAAAATTATATAAAAGTCTCTTCTGTCTGAAGTAAAAGTCTGGTCTTCAAAATTTCAGCCTGAATGGTTTGGAAAGCAGCAAAATTGCATGCAATTATAGCCAGGCTCTTTCAGTGGGAAGTCTTGCACACCTTCACAACACGCTGGTCTGACAGGTCTGCCTAGGACTAACACCATGTTCCTCTAACCTGAGAGCTGACAGACTCCTGAAGTGATGTCCCTATGTGAGGCTGTGACCAGCACCGATGCTGCCACCTGAAGTACCAACCTCCTTACACTGGAATTACAAAGTGGGTGCCCTGTTTTCCACAGAATTAGACAGAAAGCTTATCTTCTCTTTGGAAGACAAGAAACGGCCTCAAAAGTGGCATAGTCCAGTGTTCAGTTTTGATTTAGGGCTCAAAACTGGTAAAGTGTCGATTCCCTGAGTCAGGTCAACCCTTGCAACAACCTTTATTGCAAGTCTCTGCTTACTGATTTGGGATGAATGAACTTCTGTAACGGCCTGTCCTCAGAGACACATCTGTTTACTCTGCTCATATCCTGACACACATCTTCCCTTTGCTCTTATCTTTGGGTTTGCTGCTGGCCTGGAAGAGCTTTCATCTGCGAGCAAAAGAATCAGAATTCCTTTTTGCATTTGCTCTTTCATACTTTTTTATGCTGGCACATAAAGACACAGCTCAGAGTCACATCTCCCTCTCCCTCATTTTCAAACAGAGGTGCCACTCCTAACTTCCTTTCTCCATCTTCAGTCAGCCAAGATGCCACAACTTCTCTCCTATGAAGAGAAACCTGTTTCACAGCCTGGAGGTGCCCCAGGTATGACTTACTGGCAAGCATATTTAAGACCATCTTAGGAGTTTTCTGGGGACATTCCACTAAGAGTATTCTCACTCGTGAGCAGAGCAAGTCACTGCAGATGTTTATCTTCTGTGGTTGTGAAACAGCCACCCCAAAGGACTCTTTGTCCTTAGGAAAGCTTTCTATGGACCAAAGCACAGTAGCTTAAGGGATGGCTCCTTCTCTCCATGTTTTCCTCACCACCAGTATCAGCTCTGGTCCACACTCCACTCCCCAGTGCTGCAGAGAGGGCAAAGTCAGTGGTAGTGGAGAGGGCTCACTCCCTTTGCCAGCCTATCGCTCCCTCGTGGCACAGCAAAACGCCGTGAGGATCCACTGTGCACACAGGCCTTGAGCTGGACTGGATAACGGAGACTGGGCAAGAATGGGCAGGCTCAAACCACAGGTTTCACACCGACAAGCAGAGCTGGACAGCAGGAGAAGAGGCGATTGCTGCTGCTGCCGATGGGCATCATCGCCCATTTCATCCCCATGATGTCTGTACCCAGAAGCTGTTGCAATGGGTGTGCAGACAAACACTCTTCTAGAAAAAAATTATAATTATGAGAGCCCAGATCTCCCAGCCCTCAGGACAAACTCTTGCACACTTAATCCATGGCAGCTACTTCTGGCTGGTAAGGGGGTGGGTGGATGGAAGCCCACTGACTTAGCAAGTCATATTAGAAAGAGCAAGTATTTTTTATTTCCTTGATTTCACAATCCGCGCCCATGCAAAGATGATGCAGGCAGCACGTGCAGTGTGAATGCTGCCTGGATTACAAACAAAGAACCAAGTTTGCAAGGATGAAGCATTTACGTTCCTGTTCCCATCACACCTGCAGCACTTCTGAAGAAATGCCAGCTACCAGCAGCACTGGCACGAGCCTCTTGCCCCTCTGTTCCTTCTACCCATTTGTCATTGCAAATCCTCACTGCACAAGGCCTCACCTACAGCCACTAACAAAATGGTCCAAAATATGCGTCCAGCTGCGAAGAGGAGGCAAGGAGAAGATGGTGGGAGTCTTCTTCTGACTGAGCACTGAGACGCAGGGAAGTGACTTGTCTGAAGGGTGACAGGAGGCGGGCACAAAGCACTGCATCCTGATGCTCCCAAATGCAGCTCACCCTTCTGCTCCACTGAGGGAGATCATTAGCCACTTTCCTATGCTCAACAACAAAAACCAGCCAGCCATCCCCAGCTTTGTGCGCCTCAGTGGCCTCATTTCTTCAGTAAGGCTGCCTAAGTCAGTTAACAGGACTTGAAGTAACTGGATTTTTAGGTTGAGAGGGTTTCCTTAAGCCTCCAAGAGCAATGTTAATTGGGCAGGCATGCAGCCTGTCTAGAGGTGCACATTTAATAAGCAGGAATATATTTGTCTACACTCAAAAAAGGGACAGAAAACAGCACTTGGAAAAGATCTGACTAACAGCATTGCTAGTGGGACCTGGCTTTTCTTGACTTCACCGCTCCTTAACCATCGCTTTCACACAGGTTGTTGCAATGATCTTCCTAGACTTCTGTTCTCATCAAAGAGCTCCGAGACACCAAGTGAAGCCCAGGGGCACAGGCACTTTGCAAAGCTGACAGACAGAGCAACTCGCCAAAAGGATGCAGCAAAATGAATGTAACGCTAAGCACTGCAGGGAGGAGGCTGAGAGTTTCCTGTCCCAGTTTCTCAAGGGGCCCATGCTGGCCATTACAGGCGTGTAATAAGGGCTTGTTACGGTCAGCAAAGTGCAGAACAGGCAAAGGATAGATCCCACCATGCAAGACTTTTTTTTTTTTTTTTCCTCTCACTGAACTGGGGGATCTGATTTTGACAGAGGCAAAGGCAAGTAATGAGCCCTTGGAGGAGAGGCTCTCCGGTCCCTCCCCACCTCCCCACTGCAGGCTCAGCCCCACAGAAAGACAGGCAAAACCTCCTGAGCATCATGTGAGGCTTTCCACCACGCTGCCCATCCCCAGCCCTGCATCAGACGCTCCTGAGCATCATGTGATGGAGCCACAGCATGGCCAGCCTCCGGCGGTGCACTAGGATTTTCCTGCATCTCATCCCAGGAGTTTGTCACGCTGTCTCCTGACTTCATCCCTGAGATCCTCACAATGGTTGTGGTGGGGATGAGGCTGAAAAGGGTTTCTGCCAAGCTGCTTGCTTGGGCTCGCTGTGGTGCCCTCCAGTCACAGGCTGTCGCACTGCGTGTTGCCTCTCCCTCTCCCAAACTCCCTTTTTATTCTATTATAGAAAGGAAATGGTTTGAGGACATAATATTCCTCGAGGGACTTCAAATCAAATTCACCTCAGGCAGAATGAAGCAATAACCTCTCC